GCTATATGAAAGTTACAAATGCTTTTTGATTTCTTCCAACTGCAATAATGTTTCTCTATTAATTCCTTTTGCGGAAGATATTGTTGCCACTATTAAACTCTGGATTTGATTTGTTATCGCCAATTTTGATCATAGTATATAGTCTTTAAGTATGCAATTAGGATGTTTGCTCCTGTCCAGCGTTTTCGGTTAAACTGGGGTTTGTAAAATAAATCAAATGAAAGAATGATGAAAGGTTGCTGGATATTCTACGGTAAATAAGTTCTGTTCAATTTATACGAGTAATGCATGGAAAACGGTTTACCTCTCAAGTCTGACCTTTTGAAGTTTCTAATTCAAGCCAAGATTAGTCCTAGGTGCTCACAAAACCGGTTCACTACATTGGGAAGGAAAAATTGCCTCGAAACGATTAATCAACATGAGGTATCGGATGAGAAAATTGATGTGCCAAAACTACCCACTAGGGCTACCTAATCAATCTGATAAGCTGATTTTCTGTCTCCTTTAAAAATCTGAAATCTAGCACATTATGGGATATTATGCTAAAAAGTTACCATGAGAAGGAAATACAAGCATCGCCAATAATGTCAAACTTCCAAGGCATCATCGATTTTGTAGAATATTATTTACAGGGGTTGAAAGCTATTGTTGTTTAGAATCTTTGCAGATTGAGGTGGTCAGAACTCCAAAATGAAATTAGCTATGTACCCTTCTGCTTCCTCTGTGACATTCCCTCCCATGGATTTCAGGAGGAGGCAAATGCTGTCAGTATTACACGAGCTGAAACTTTTTCCTCCGCACGAGCCGCAACTCTTCTCTCTCAGCCAATCCCATCATTATTTTTTGCAAATGAACTCACATCCTTCGGATGGGTTCAATTTGGTTGTGCTTGTAACTTGTAACAAATGTTATTCATGACACTACTTTGAAGTAAACTGTAACGGATTAAGCATATCTCCATGAGTTACCCAATTCACAAAGCTCTCAGAAAACTCATCCAGAATACCATCACAAGTGAGGTCAGATGCAGTTCGGTCCCCTCCCTAAACAAACAAACAACCAAAAAAACAGTAGATTGCTTTCAACCAATGGCACACGAAAATCAAATGGGTAAGATACAACTCGAACATTAGCAACACTAGCCTTACTTAACAATTAAATATTAACTAAAATATACCACCCAGCAGACGTGTGTAGATTCAAGGAAAGGATCTACTTATTTTTTGGTTGGAAGGGGGAAGGGGGGAGTTTTGGAATATATATATACATAAAGGAAGTATTATGGACCTCTCTCAGACATTATTCAAACAATTCCATACTTTAGTTGATTTCAGTTACTGTCATTAATCAATAATAACACCACAAAGTACTAACCTTTATACTTGACCCTGACTCACTTGGAGATGTGGTCATATCGATTTTTAGTTCAGCACCAATATTTTCAGATGATAGGCCCGTGGTCGACCTGACAAAGAAAAAATACATATGTATGAGATTTCAGCTGTCAAAACACAGAATTGCAGTTCTTGCATCTACGATTAAATTCTAAAAAGGGTTTCAGACAGCAAGCATAGAGAGACATAAGTTCCCCGCAAACACTGAGGAAGTTATTGTTTCACCACAATCAACATTATTTTACTCACATCATTACAAAAAATTTCCAACTTCAATTCCATTTTCCATCTTTACTCTGTTCAATTTCATTCTGTTTTAAGTCCAGAAGGGAGATGTTGTGCAAAAGGGTTGCGGGCAGTTCATTCTGGTATGGAAAGCTTATACCAGGAGAATATTTCGTTGTTTAAAAATGATATTCCATCTAATAAGATAGAGATGGAAAAATATTTTTTTTTTTGTCCTCATTTGTTGACACGGTATATATTTTGTGTTTATTCAAAAGTTAACTGCAATTTTTCTATAAATGTAGAAGCAGAATGAGGACCTAAAAGTAAGTGACTGAAAAGTTTGTCACCAAAAAGCAAGTTGTTGACAGCTGTGCTCAAATTAATATTTCTGGTGATGGTACTAGCTGAGAATGGGAAGAAGCACACACAATTGGTAGTTGGCACAATGATCATTGGTTTCAGAGAAAAACATTATCTGGAAAATTTGCTGCTTTTCTAAAGTAACCTTAATGAAGATGGCTTTAACTACCTGTCATATATATCATCATCACATGAATTTCCTGATGAAGAAAGCCAGTCCATATCAAAGTTGGTGCAATTACATTCATCTCCATTTTCATCATAACATATGCGATTACTTTCAAGAAAATGGTCCTTTTCCACATCTCCAAAAAGCTGCCTGCAAGACATTCTTGGAGGAAACCTAGAAAACCAGCCAGAATTAAGTCAGTGGGACAGCAGATGAAGTCTTTGAATCAGTTTAAAATTAATTTAATGAAGGTGCTTGTTAATCATAGTTCCTTGGTACTACCAGCGACAGATTTCAAAAACTTAAGCATGTTGGCACCTATGGGATGGAACCATGCTATAAATCCCTAGCAAGAACTACAATCTCAACAGTACTTTTAAATCATGAGTACTCTTTTAATATATCAACCATTAAGTTAATAAACTTGGAAAAAAAAAAAGTTTGAACACACCTGGAATAAGAAATTTCACAAGTTGGCATCTCTGGAGTGGACCCTGAATGACCATGGGTAGCTCCTGTGTTTTCAGACAGAGGCTGATGGTGTCCGACATTTGAAGCAGCCAAGGGAGAGTCAGTTCCACAAAGAATGTTGCCATCAGATAGTGATCTTTTAAAAAGTGACCTACAGATATTTGAAAGTAAACTCATTAGTTTTTTGCAAGAAAGTTTAGATTTACCGTATTAAACTGAGATCACAAAGCGACAGCTCAACAACATATTGACTATCCTATAACAAACAGATGAATGAATATCAACATTACTATTTGAGAGCAGCACTCCCTTCCTGATTACTTACAATCCAAAAATTGTGTAGTTTTCAAAACAATCATTGGAACATATATATATTGTGATACAATCTTAAAATTTATCAGATTTACGAACATAACATTGTATTTAGATACACAGAATATTACTAAACATCTGCATATTGATCTAGATCCAGATTTTTTGGCAATATATAATCTCACAAACATCTGCATCTTAGAGACTCAATATACCTATCATTCTCATTAAAAAGATTAGGACCATGCTTTCCAACGCTATAGTGTTGGTCTGAATCCAACTCCCACAGTGCTGGTTTACCCTGTTGTGGCTGAAAGTGACCCAAGAACCTGCATAGTATCATGCCAAATTCCAGGAGTGTTATCCATCACCATCCTTATGCACTAATTAACATATATCAAGAAATGCAATTTGCACAACACTGCAAGCATTTCCTAAAAGTATGTGAACAATGAGGCTTATTTATCTTACAAATTAATGGCACTTTGCTTCACTGCATCTATGTATGCATTGCTATAATAACGTTGCAAAGTTCTAAAGAACTCCTGGGACTGAGTTGCTGCTTTCCATTGGCCTCTCCTTTGACAAAATATCTGTTTAACATGACCAATGCAGAATGATAAAATGTACTCAGGATTTAATACTCTAAGGGTTTCAGTACAAGAAAAAGCAGATAATGATTTATGGCTGCACTGAAGCCCAACTAGCAAGCTCTGTTGTCACTATACCGGGCCAGCAACCTTCATGTTCCTACCACAAGGTTTCAAGGATTACTCTGCCATCTTACAACCCTATAAACGAATTTGATAGCCATAGCTGGAAACAAGCATTAAATTTGAAAACAAATACTGTTTTTATCCTGTAAATGGGGTTCTTGTGATGAGAAGAGGAAGTGTTGCAAACAAGGGATGTATTAGAGGTGACGGAAAGGAAGATTGAAGCAGCTCCTAAAGTACTAAATGTTGTGGCAGGTGGAAGAGAATAAGAAAAGAATAAGAGTTCTGAGAGAGAATAGGCTAAGGAGAAAAGCTACGAGTCAGAGTCACCGTAGTTCTCCCAAAAAGTCCCCCTTTTGAGTTGTGAAGACTCTCTATATATATAGTGTCAAAAATAACAATTACAAGAAAAGATTTTAATAAACGTAATGAATGATATCATTAAGGAGAGTTTAAATGTTAGGTAACCGTTACTGAAAGTTAATGTTGAGTAACGGTTAAAAACTTATTATGTGACCATTGAAATAACTATATTACATAAAACTTGTTATCGAGTAGGAGTTAATAAAAAAAAACTGTACGTGAACAGGTACAAGAGAGTAAGCTGTACATGAACAGGTACAAGAAAAAAAGCTGTACGTGAACAAGTATAAGAGAACAAGGAAAAAGCAAAAAACATTTGTACTTCAGGAAAAAGTTAAGAGAGATCTCTTAACTACCTCCATATCTGAGCCACCAAGCCAAACTCTTCGAAACATCCCAATATAAAAGTAACCCATGAACACTGCCACCTATTCCGGATTACTTTCACTGTCATCTATGTGAAATTATTATTTTGTAAAAAATAATTATTCTACTTGTATTAATTGTTCCACGTGAAGTAATGCTCCACCTATTCTAGTTGTTCTGCGTGAAGTAGTGCTTCACTTATAATGGTTGTTCTCATTATTCTTTATATAATGTTACACGATAAAATGATTTTTTAGAAAATAAGTATTAACCAAAATCGACTATCTAGACACCCTCATCAAATTCTTTTGGGAAGTTACAAAAGCCCCTCAAATCTCTAAGAAGGATTACCTTGTTGTGTGCTGCAGAGCCACCATACTGTAAAGCAAGTGTGTCACCCATTGTTTCATAAACTCCCATTAAATCATCGGCCAAAGGACTATTTTGATCAATCGTTTGGGATTCTGTGAAGCCCATAGCATGGAGCTGGCGTCCAAGAGCCATCAACCCATAGGCATATTGGGCAACATTAGTGCGATCTAGACAGTCAATGCAGTTGGTTCTAAGGACTCCATTTTGAAACATTGGGGGTTTTATATCACTAGAATTCTGCTTATCATTAACAACATCCGTTTCCAACTTCTCAACATCGTTACTTATGTCAGAAAGAATCTGAGAGCACTCATCATTTTGCCTGCAATAGATTTGCACACATGTATCATAAGTAGACATGAATAATCAGCAAAAGCATCAGCAAACCAAATCGACATAAAAAACTAAATTATGAGCAACCTAAAATGTTATATTTTTCAAGGAAAAGGCAAATGCAAGAGACCATAAATAGCAGTACAGGTTACATGTGCCAAATGGTATGCATTCTAGCATATTACAGATTGAGATAATACATGATAGAAAGGGCAAAGTAAACAGGTATTCTTTGATCAAATAAGTAGTAGCAAAAGAAAATTTATGTGTAGATATTTGTAACTTATAAGAAAGGTGAAAAAAAAAATACAGACAAGTAACTACAGCATCATGAAAACATTATCAACTTCATAAGGAAAACTTACACCAAGCAAGATAAATTCAACAACCCCTCCCGTCTAAAATTTGGTGTTACTTGACAGTAAAAGATGCCCGTTAAGTTTAATGCATAGTCAGCCACTCTGCCTAGAAGCGCCAACACACTTGTAGCTCTGCAGAAAATGATCAAGCTCTCTTAAGTTAACCATCCTTTAAAAGATTGATAAGCAAGATTTTACATAAGCAAGGGGGTATAGAAGTACTTTCTGGAATGTCTGTTCAGGTCCCAATGAAGGAACCTCAGACGATTCTCCTTCGTTAAACTTTTATTGAGAAATCTGATAGCATTTGCAAACTCTGCACGGAGAATGCTTTCCCGAGGCTTCTTCTCACACCTCTTTTAATCACCAGAATGGAAAGCAGAACAAATCAGGAAATCATTGCAGATAAAAAAACATCATGAAGTTTATGGAAATTGACAAATAATCAGCAAAAGGCCTACCTTTATCAAATTCAATATGATTATTGGATTTCCATATCTCCTTACAAGATTTTCAAAATGTAGTCTTGTGGCCTCATAATTCGGATCCTTCTTTGATACTGGAAACAAAAAGTGAAATTAGGAAAATCTACAGTAGTTACCATGTAGAACTAATGATATATGCCTCTCAGTGTGCTTATTCAACAAGCAAGAATTCTTACATATGATGTCAGGTTTCAAATTCAAGCGTGAAGTTTCCTGGGACCAGAAAAGTGGGATAGAGCCTCGATTCTGGACAACAGAACTTATTTGTGTGGGGCATCCTTCAGGAACATCTTCAAACACAATCTGTTCTGTCTCAACATCATTTGCTACTCTACCTTTCTCATTCACACCACGTTTTAAATATCTATGCAGTAGAAGAGAAATAAACAAAGTGACAATCATGTCAGACTCCAGACCAGCAACAAAAGTAGGTAAAAAAATTATCTACAATATTAAGAAGCAGTGACAAAACTAGAACTCAAAATTAAGCAAAGAAAACTTCATTTTTTCTACAGCTATTGAAGTTCATATTACTCCTTCAATTCATAAGCAGAACTCGTTTATTGTGCGATAAGATACTGGATACAGAATACAGATCAAAACTATCGTTAGCCAGATAATTAAGAGCTAAGTACAATGAACAACTTTGTCCTCCAATAAATTTTGACACAAAAAGGTGAGCTCACTAAGCAATTGACAGTGGAAACTAGCACCAAAGCTAATTTTCCTAATGAATTGTGGGCCAAATGAAATGGTTAACAGCAGTTCCAATTATATAACTAATCCAGCCAACATTTCAATCAGTAGCTTGTAAAGCATCTAAACCTTGTCCCAGCATAATGTCGAGAACGTCTTGCAATGAGAGTTAACTTAAAGTCCTTGCCAGACACAGAAAGTTTGACCTGGATACCAAAGCAGGAAACAACAAACATTAGATATGAACTTTAAAACCATGCATCTAAGAGAAGCAACAAGCTAACATGTTCAGCACAAGTTTCAAAACTGCAAACCAGCATTATCTAACTGCTTTAGCTACTCCATTTTAAGGTGGCAAAAGTTATAAGAGAACACCTTGTAAACAAGTCATTCAGGCACCTTAAGAATTATTGAAAAAGGAATTCTATATTTATAAACTTGATGGTAGATCCCAAATTTGAGGATTAAATAAATAAAAATACAATTTAAAAAGAACAGAGACACATCAAATTCCACAGCTACTGCAAGCCTAGAAAATTCCACAACTGCTGAAAAGGGTTATAAAGTTCAGGTTTATATAGATTCCTCTAAAGCAACATATTTCAAACAATTAAGCCAGATATGGAAACAGAAATAAAATAATATAACTAATTCAACTTAACCATTTTCCTGCAAATCCTTACTTCAGTTATCACTTTTCACAGAAATTAATGAATAGGAAAAAGCCTAAAGTATATCATACCTGCTTGAAAAAGCCATATACCAATGCAACTGTCCACAGAGTATTCTTGAGATTATTGCGGATTCCTTGAGTTAAGAACTCATTCCAGACAAACATTGTTTCATAGTTAAACAGTCCTGTCTCATCCTTACATAAATTTCTTTGAAGACTATGCATAACATTGTATGAGTAGCTGAAAAAGAAGTCCTTTGTAAGATCCACTGTGCAGAGGAGCTTCTTGTATCTATGTCAACAAGGAAAAAGAAGAAAGAAAGAAAGAAAAGGCAAGCCATGTTAATTCATGTTTATCTATTTAATGAAAAAAGAATAAATAGAAATGAAACAACTGCTTAAGCTAAAAATTTTAACCAGGAAATAAAAGAGAAAGTAATTTTCCCCCAGAAACCCTGATGATACCTTGTCTCATTCAACATGTTATATTAACATCACACAGCAATGAAGTTTGCCCCTGTACATATGCAGGAAATGAACTGGCAATAGCCTCTACAAATGGTATTAACTAAGAAGATGCAACATTAAACATTTTATACACACACACATAATATGTTGGAAGCTGACTTAATTGTTTGAATATGAAACTAATTAAAAAGGGGAAAAAAAAGGAAGATATTTAACCAGAAAAGAGCTTTAGATAAGTTCAAGTTCCTTGAGCCCACGTCAACAATATAACATGAAGGGTGTATCAACAAAAATATTACAGAGATTACCTCCACACCATGGAACTCGTCTACTTTTAAAAGAGAACTCCAGAACTCAAATTATTGTCCCAGAGAACATAAGTAATTGAGACGAAGATAAAATAACCACAACATAACACAATTCCATCTAAATACAGATGGACAATGAATATTAACAGCGCTAATCTCATATGTCTCCTTATAAGTACCAAGGACGCATTACATTTACATGCAGAATTGACAAAAGACCTTTTTTCATCCATAGAATAAGCCAAATTGGACTGGACAGGAGAATTTGGAATTGGAATCATCTCGCTCTTGGTAATGGCATAGATAGTATGGCCACAAATTGCACCGATCTTCCTTCTTTTCGTGATCAGCAGCATGTAATAAGGTCCCAAAAATTTTACAAACCCTAAATTAATGGGGAGAAAACCATTAGCTTATAATGAAAACATCAGAGGGGGGAGGTTGGAGAACCTAACAGTTATTACGTACCAACGATTCCATAACAAGCTGTAACAAATTTAAGTCCGCCGGTGGACCTGTTTCCTTCATGTATCCGTCTTAACAGATCACAGCATTCAATTTCTGAGTATGTTGTAGAATCTTCAAGAACGGTTAGTTCAGACGTGTCTAATCGATCAATCTTTAATACCCTCCAAAAAGCTCTGTTCTTGTCTCTTCCAATCATATAGAAATTCTGTTGCACACAAGGAACACACAAATGTTGCATTAATTGTATAATTATCTACTTGAAGAAATGTTAAGGGAAAGAGAAATAAACACAAAAGCAGCTCTACTCTTCTTATAAGCATCATAGAGTAAAAAGAGAAAAAAAAATGAAAAATTATCTGATAATGTAGAACTTGCTCTGAGGATAGCGACTATTTCTGTATTAAAGATTCTAGTGAAAAGATGCAACAAGTTAAATGGCATGGTGCAACAGAAAATAGATAGCATTAAAATGTGGCAATATCATCTTATATATCTTGATAATGAAACCACGCAAGATGACCATTTTTGTAGCTTCCAAGCTCATTAATAATCACTGCCTATAATCTCAAGAGTAATGAACCCACTTTATGGGACAAAAAACAGTCTTACACCTCATAGGAGATGACTGCAGTTAAATAGAATTGTGCACAAAACAAACTCCTCAAACCAAAAAATACTTCTACCACGGAATTTAAACTCCATATCTCAGATTAAACCAGTTCGAAATGCACTCAAAAGCCAAAAAAATCTGAGTCAACCTCAGAGAAGAATGAAATCAAGATTTCAAAATTATTTCTTATGTACAATATATTATGCATCCATTTCTTAATATTTCGAGATTTATTAAAAAAATTCAAATCACTCCAATATCAAGCTAACCACGGGGGAAAACAGAGCAAAACAGAGCGCAGCTTTCAAAGCTAAAGCTAAAAATCATCAAAAATGCTCAAAAAAATAGAAAGAAGAAAAGAAAAGATGGATAAAAAAAACCGCCACGCAAAATTAAACAGCCAGGAAAAGAGAAAAAAAAAAAGATCGAGAAGAGACTTAGCGTGATAAACAAATAAGCAACTTCAATGATCAAAACTAACAAGTCAAAATCCTCAAACCAACAGCCGTATAGACACATAAACGTATATACAAGCATGCGAACACATGTATAAAACGTATATACGTTTGTATATAAGAGTTAAAAAGGAAAAATACCGAGCGAGTCTCGTAGAGTCTGAATTTCTGCAAAAAGCAAGGATTCGGGTCGGGTCCAGCATCACTGCAATTCTCGTCTGCCATTAGCTCTTCGGATCCCGAGTTCCCCGAGCCTCAAAGCTCGGGTTCACTCAAAACACAGATCACCGAAACCCGCGGAAAAAGAAAAACCTCTCTCACTTTACAAAATTCAATCTATATATAAACACAGATAAAAACACAGAAAAATGGAAGAAAAAAAAAACTAGCTAATCACAATTCAGTGATTCAACCTAGAAATCACGAACAACAGGAAAAAAAAAACAACCTAAGAAAAAACGGGAAAAAATAAATTAAAGTAAATGAGAACGGTGGTATTGATATGCGAAAACGGTGTCTTTTGTCGGAAAGAGGAAAAGAGAGATCGAGAAGAAGAAGAGAAGGAGAAGCAGAGGAGAAAGGCACAGCTGAATGGGGACTGCTACCACACAAAGTAACCCAAAAAAAAAAAAAAAGAGGAAGCTATATATATTTTTTAGTTTCTAAAAGAAAAAAAATATATACGAGATAGCGGTGTTTTTAAAATTTTAGTTTTTCAATACGACAGTAATAATAGAAGAAAATATAGGAGTCCGCCAACAGTAACTTCCTTTTCTAATATGTTTTTCTGTTCAATTTAATTACGGCGGTTTAATGATTGGTTTGACGAGTTATGAGTCGGACATGGTCGTTATGATTGGGTTGAATCGGTGGGAGGGTGGGATCTGGTGTATGCCTCACATCTAATTTAGCATATTGCTCAAAATTATGATGTTTTTTTTCTCTTAATCATCTATAAATATTTGATAATCGGATTCAAAATGTATTATTGTTATCAATTTTACTTCATCCAATATATAAATTATTTTTATTTAAATTTAAATTTTTAAAAAATACTTTATTTAAATTTAAAAAATTATTGAGTTAGTGATTACTGAAAGATGATGGTTTTGTAAAAGTGGTTTTGATTGGAGTATGATGATTGTAATATTGTGATACCATATTTCACATTAAATGTGATCTATATAAGGGTTTAAGTAGAGGTGGAAGGAGGAGGGTTAGTACAAGCCGTTCTCTCAAAGTTTCAAAAAATTTTATATTTTTTTGTTTTATTTTAAATTTTTTTATTTTTTAAAATTTTTATAATTTTGCCCTTTCAAGTATTAAATTTTTTCATTTTCACCCCCTCAAATCTTAAATCTTAACTCCGTCGCTAGAAATTATTTCGAAATTGAAAAGTAAATTCATGAAGAAATTGTGAGAAATAACTTTTTTTATAAGTTTAATTTAAAAATATCATTTGTTTTAATTTTAATTATTTCTAGTCAATTTTTGACATGACTTGACAACAATATCGTTTAAACAATTTCAAACAAATTAAAATAGTTTCAGTTTTCTCTATCCCACTATCCAGCACTTTCTTACTATCCAAATAATAAAAATGACATCAAGATATATATATTTTAGGTTCTTAGGTTTATTAGTTTATAGTCATAGAACTCAAGGTTAAAGAATTGAAATTGATTAGAAATATCCGTAAATTAAAACACTGTATGACTTTGACAGCTTAAACCTGACTATGAGCAAGTAAATCAATTAGTTATTAAGTATTGCATTACTAGTTTTTAGACATTATATCATTGATTTTTTTAAGTAATATGAGACTGACTTTTAGGTATTACGTAACTAGGCTATAAGAATTAGGTGACTTATTTTTAAGCCATACCTAAGTTATACAATACCTAAAAACTAGTCATGTAATGCTTTATTAACTAGTCATGCAATCCCTCTCAATCAGTCATGCAATGTCGTATCAACTAATCATGCAATACCTAAAAATGAATCACACAATGCCTAAAAATTAATTATGCAATGTTTAAAAACTGATCACGTAATTCTTAAAAATCAATTATGAAATACTTAAAAACTATAAAAACTACTGAATTTCATTTAACAAAATCAATAATTTCAAATAATATATTATATTCTATTTAACAATATAATAAATGAATATGCTTACTTGACAAAGAAAGTTTAAAATGCTCAAAGATTTTTTTTCATGTATAAAAAACTACCCTAAAATGTTTAAAGTACTTAAAATGCTTAAAAATTTTTCTTTATGTATCAAAATTACTTTAAAATACTAAAAATACTTAAAGATTTTTTTTTCTGATAATAAATACTCTAGACATGAATGGTTTGATGAAAAAAACTAAAAAAATATGAATTGGTTTAAGGCGTGAACCTAAACATATGAGTCAATTCTATTAAAAGTAATTTTATTTAAAATTAATTTTTTAAATTAAAAATAATTAAATTTATAAAAAAATATTTTTAAAAACACTTTATTTATGAAATATATTTTTGAAAGAATCTTTTAATTCTTCGTCAAATTTGGCAATGTAGTTTTCCTCGAGGACAAGTGTTGGGCTTTAAGAGTGAAGAGTCCATGTGAATGGCATTAAAGAGGAGCAGGCTGGGCAACAAGTTTCGCTTGGAATTGATCAAATCATTGTCGAGGTTTTGATCGACATTTCAACGGTCCTGATAATGAAGGGCTAGTCTCACCACGTGAACCTTCATGTATGGTAAATGACTCGGTTTGGTTTCGAGTCAACTCAGCCTCGGATTGTCTTTTTTTTTGTGTTTTTATTTTATTTTTTAATTTTGGATTAATATCAAAAGTGATTTTCTAAAATTTCCCTGTTTCTTGGGATCTTTGTCTTGATGGCGTATATTTTATTTTTTTTCCTTGTAGGTGGTCCAATTCTAATAATTGTTTCACGTACGAAAAGAAATTATTATAAAATTATAAAAAAAAATATAATGATAATCTCGTCGTGAATAAGAATATGCTAATATACCATTCCTTTGATCAACTTGACGGTCTACTTTGTATATTTTAATTATGGAATTACAGAGATATCCAAGCTGGGTTTTCTTTTTAGTTTCCATGTTTGGGTGATCTTCTTCAAAACTTTTGCCACCACAATTTTGCTTGCCTTAATTCACTGGGAAACTTGGGCACATGCCGTACACTTGATATTCAAGAAATTTAATTTTGCCTTTGCTGTATATTCATTAATTCCCAATAGAAAAATTAAAATCTTAGAAAACTTTTGGGGATTGAATTAAGTATAGCTTTAGTCACTTGGGCAAATTGTTATAAGCATGAAATTAATGGGCATTTCTTAAGCTGATTATCAATAAGTTGAATTTTTTTTATCAGAAAAATTTTGGATAACCATGAAATGTTTTTTGGATGGTCTTTACAGTTTGGTCAACAATTAAGACATCAATTAATCAATAAATACTATTCAAAAAACACGTTAATGAAGTATATGCTGATTGGTGATGTTTTCTTTAATTTAAACCCTTAGTCCATAGACTCTGAAACAATATATATTTCTTTGGTTGGAATTTTTTTTTTGTTCGCTAATTGGACTTTTGGAGGTGCTATATTCCATTTATATAAAATAAAATGCATTGATAATTAATCCTTCAGCATTTCCTATTGCCTTTTAATTCGGAGAAAAAGATAATCATGTTATAAAAATAGGAGTGATTCATTTTCTTTTATTTTTAAGTCAATAAATCAAAAACGAAAATCCGAGTACAATTTGCATGTTTTTAGAAAGAAAAAAAAGGACAGTATCTACGTACAGTTTTGTCATACTGTCACGGGTTACATTCGTTTTTGTTGTAACTGAAAAACTTATCTTCTGTTTCATTACAACTTCGTAGTAAAAAGATAATGATGTCGAAAAAATTTTGTAAAAAAAAAAAAATCATAAAAAAGTGATTGCATCATCCAACGGTTGACGCTTAAATTGTGGGCTATGGGGTCGTAGACTTGTTGTCTCGTAGAGGTGTGGAAGCTTTGTTCATAAATTTCTTCATATAAATTTCAATCTACATTTCCGCCGGTGACGGGTGCGGGTCCCATTTTATGGCCTTTTCCCATGGACCATGCATCGATCCCATGGTTTCCGAGTTCGCACAATTGGGAAAGATCTAGCATTTTGCAGAAGGAGAGTTCCCACCGGCTTTCGAGGGTAATAGATACGTCTATAAATAATCATGGTAATCAAGTTTATTTACATATTTTCTAGCATTGACTTGTTTTATTTTGAAACTTAATATTATAATTAGCAAGAACCGTCTAGAAAGTTCTTAACGGCCTAATCTATATATCCTGTTGTAAATGCATCGTGACATATATGCTAGGAAAAATATAATATATATAAATAAATTTGTAATCTAGCATAATTTTTATTTATTTTAAAAAATTTTCAAGTTAGTCATAAATACATCAAATTAGTCAAACTTCGAGAATATCATGAGATTATAAAATAAAAATAAATAAACAATTCAATCACTTTCTTAGGTAATGGTAAAAAATACTTATTGACGGTAAGAAAAAAATATATGAACGTAGATTTAATGTTAAAGTAATAATCATGTTAATAACATAAAAAGTGAGTAGGGAAAAACAGTAATATTTTTTAAAAAAAATATTATTAAGAAAAGAGAAATGAAATAACTTAAAATCATTGACGTAAATGATAAATCATTCATTACGGCAAAATTATTATTTTATTCAAAATAAACATGTGCACACACCCAACCGCCAAGCACAAGCGAATGGGTCGTGATCCTGCATGAAAAGTAAAAACTCCGGAACATGGGGTTTGCTGTTTCCTCCATCGCCACTCATCCAACGCCAGCCTTTTTGTATATTATTTTTTCCCAAGAGAAGACGATCTCTATTTTCAGTTTTCAATTCTTTCTTTCTTGAAAAGGTTGTTTTTCTTCTTATCATTAAATTAAACATCAACAGAAAAAACTAAAAAAAAAAAGTTGACCGTGAAATTAAATAGACTCTCGAAAGCGAAGTGCGGGTCCGCGGGGATGACGATCGGACGATGGAGATGGATGACCCTTTCAACGTGGCAAAGATCTCTGGCGTAGCTGGAGACAGCTGGCAGTATGACGTGGCAAAACGTGGACGTTTCATCCTCCTTATCCGGCACGAGAAATGTGCACGGTTTGTATGGAATGCACACCATTTGTTTTCCTGAGCCGACAGTGAGGCCACGTGTCCAGCATTTGATTGGTTAAGAGCCGAAAGAAGAGTACAACAGGGGATCCGAGAGAGCATGTGCTTGGTCGGGCTGTACTCGCAGGCGTTCCAGGCAACCTGCACACTTGCTTTCAATTCCATGTGTTTTTCTTTCTTTCTATTTTATTTTCTTTTTTAAAACTGGAAAATGAAGTTTCTTCATCAATATGCGAAGGAAATATGGTCCCTCCGAATATATTCATATATCTTATGGAAAGATAAGAAATTCTAAATATTTGGAGTTTAATTGAATCATGCTATTCCTTTTAAAAGGAATTGTCATCATAACCGTGTTGATAGATGGGGGAGCTTTATGTCTAGTAGCTACCACTATCACAATGG